CACACTGGCATATTGACAAACAGGTTGCACGCAGAATACGTACAAGATATGAATCAAGGCATGGAACTGCAGGGCAAAACTGCAGGAATGACGCCATCTTGGTACATCGCCTGGTGGCGTGGGCAAACTGCCATGGCCGCCTTCGGAGGCTTTTTCCACCTCGTTGTTGGTGTTGACAAAGAAAGAGGGAGAGGCTCTCGTTGTTGGTGTTGACAAAGAAAGGGGGAGAGGCTAGAGGACACTGCTTGCTGCGCTGCATGTACCAGTGAGGATGGCGTCGCTGCCGCCGCCATCGTTGTTGCTGGAGGCTCTATGCCGCAACCCCTCCATGCTCATCCATGAGAGGAAGTACAGCCACGCGCCCCAGCACATGGAAGACGAAGTACATCCGCGGTGCTCCTCTCTGGCCACGGTGGCAGCCGGCAAGGGGAATTGACCACGGGTCGATGTCCCCATGTCTGTGATGTCCTAGGTGCCCAGAATCATCCGAGAAGATGTCGCAACGGAGCAGATCGATGGGGCGGCCGAATGCTTGAGGTGTTGGTGCAGGCTAGGACGCGGTGTCCAGAATCGTTCGAGAAGGCTTCGTAGCAGAGGAAATAGATGGCGTTGCGCGGTGGCGGAAGCTTGAGGTGGTAGCGCAGGCAGGGGTAGCGCGCGGCTCAGGCGCGTCGAGCGCCACACGCATTGGGGAGGGAGGGAGAGACATGGGTGCGCGAGGCGGTAAGCTGTACAGCTTGGGGAGACGTGCGTGCGAACGTGCGTGGTGGGTTTCAACCGGCTGCTTTTTTTTAGGGGGAGTACGTGTGCTTCGCTTAACCCGGTGGTCTTTTTTACGGGAACACGATTTACGCTAAAAAAATCGGTGGGAGGAGGACACGAGGCGGGGGATGGAACGAGGTGGTCGAACCATCACGACGACTGCAGATTCCCCTTTAATAGTAGAGATGAGCAAGAACTAAGTAACAAAAAAAGTACCGAAGAACAAAACAAGATGATGCAATGTAGAGGAGCCGAACCCAAGCAGGACGCTCTCTCGGACAGTCGGACTATCGGGCGTCACATGCTCGCACCGTGTGACCGTGCCCCGCGATCAACCCTACCAGTTGGTGCGTGAGATTGGAATTGGGAATGTGATGAGATGCGTCGCTGGTTCCCCTGATTGTTCGGTTCTGTGGTTCTGCTTCCTACAAGCGATCGGGCTACCAGGCTGTAAACGTTTAGAAAGTAGAGATTATGGGCCACTGGGCCATGTGGGGGTGGGAAGGGAGAAAATCAGAGGTGCGCTATCCTTGTTTTGGGCTGAATGTTTAGTTAGCCTCATACATTCTGTCAGTTTTCTTTTTTTTTCTACACATTTACGTACTATACAGAATATATCCTCTGAAAAAGAATATATGAGCACCTTAAATAATGGGCCAAAAATAATGGTATTCAGAATACCCTTGAATCGAACTGGGCCCGCCCTTGCCTATGAGCATCTTTGAGAGACTGAGTCGGCATATCATGTTGAGATTTACAAAGTCAGCGTAGGCGCCTCGTCGTCGACGGGAACATCTCCTCCCACTGAAAGCGTGTCACCGGAAATCCTAAAATAAATCCTAGTGGGCTGGGGATACCACTGTCCCTCTAACCATCCAACCACAGGTTGGTTCGCATCAATAAGTTTCAATTGCATGAATTTCTTGGACAACTCATTCATTAACAACTATCGATTATGAAAATGATTGAACATCATCCGAAAAGATGAGAGTTTAATTAACATTTAGAATGTTTACATGCCGACTAAACATTTTTTCCATTTTCCATTTATATTGATTATGAATATGATTTTACATCATCCAAAAGTATGTTTTGAACAAAGTCATGTGCGCAAATCAACCTGTGGTTGAAGAGTAAATTGCAGAAAAGCACCACTTTAAATGCTAGGTTAGCAAAAGACACTATACTACATTTCTTTTGCAGAAAATACCACGTCTTGTGTAATCGTTTTGCAAAAACCACTGATTGACATATTTGACTATGTTGATGTTGATCGTGTTTATTACAGATGGGGCCTGCTAGTCAAGTTACGTGGCACCACTTAACGTCTCATATGTAACAGCGACATTACGTAATGTTCAAGTTATGTGGCACCACTTAACGTCTGATATGTAACAGCGACATTAGGTAATGTCATCATCAAGTGTGCCGCTTCGGGGTCCACCTGTCATTGGAAGAAAAAAATCGGCTTCGTCTTATCTTCACCCCCAGGTCAACGCACAGGCGTGGGCGCCAACGCATAGGCTCGCCCCGTCCCCGGCCGAGGCAGATGCCTCCGCTGCTGTTGCCACACCAAGGGCCCGGACAGCGGCCTCGAGCAAGGCCTTGCTGAGGCCGATCCCCACGCGGTCGTCGTCGTCCTCGTGCTGCTGGGGTCGATGGATCAGACGAAACCACGAGGGCCAGCAGTGGACACCGGCCGTGCCCACAACACGTTGCGCGCGAGGCCCGCCTCCTATCCCACCTCCGGCAGTGGCAGAGGCCTCCGTATTCGTTGCCGCGCGGGGCCCGTCCCGCCCCCGGCCTAGGCAGAGGTCGTCGCCGTCGTGCCGCGCGGATCTGAAGTGCGGAAGCGGGAGGTTAGCAGCGGCTTGGTTCTTGCCAAATCTGCGCGAGGACGGCCTAACGGCGACAATGGTCGCGGTGTTCCAGTGCTATGACGTTGGGCGGCAGCGCGCGGTCCGACGAGAGAGAGAAAAAGGGAGAGATATTAGGAAGGAGAGGAGAACCAGAGCAAAGGAAGGTACTATTACACGGACAAGAGGGTCCCACATCCAGCAAAACAAGTCAACGTAACGGTGTGAGGAATTGATGCCACGTCAGCCTGACTAGTGGGCCCATCTGTCATAAACGCGATTAGCCAAAATCTGTCGATAGTGGTTTTTGCAAAAACGATTACACAGGACGTGTAGCATAGTGTTTTCTCCAAACCTAGACTTTTTTTGAGGGTAAATATTGCGATAAATCGCGAGTGGACATACCACCACGCGCGTCCGGAATCCACACCGCACGCTGCCGCGCGATGCGTGCAGCTTTAATACCCTCCGGCCGTATAAGGAATTCACCTCGTCATATAGCATTCGGTATAGTGTGTGTATTTGCACCTGACATATGCAGTGCATGGCCCGCGAGGCAGCGCGTGCATTAATCCCACACCCAACATCCCAATGGCAATAATTCAACGATCTAGCAGCCCACATGCGGACAACATATCTGGTGATACCGCAACTCAAGTGATACAATGCTCCGATGGATCATGGGCCTTTGGATTATGTTGGAAGGGACACGATGAAGGCACACATGATGAGCAGCCTCTCCACCGCAAAATATACAAAAACACTCTGATTCATGTTATTAATTAAGCATCACACCCTTTTCCTACTAGTACTGTACTAGTTTATGAGCCTCGGTTTCACTTAGGGGCAGAAAAAAAAAGGCTTGCTATTGTGCAATCTTCATATAAAATTATGCCATCTCCGTATTTTGCTTTTATACTGCTAAAAGTTCAACAAAATAAATCTAGTAATTGCTTGGTTACTTTGTTCAAACACTAATAGTAGTCTGGTATGTCTAGTCCGTAAATTTGCATATAATGTCAATTATGATAATCCACAAAGAGTACTATTATAAATGAATATTTTTCGTTGTTAGTCCTCACATATTCCATGTGCCGTTCTAGCTTGTACAATCTCAAATCAGTTGGACAACTGACCTAGTACATGCTATATTTGCTTTCACGGAAGCTAACTGAGTTTTTTGTAGAGAATGTACAAGCAAGCATTTTCAGCTATCTTGAAGAGGAACTGAATCTAATTGAGTGAATGTTGTGGTTAATTAAAATGCACAACTGTTTTTTCTAAGTTAACACCTACAATTTTAGAATGTGTATATGTTTTTTACCAGTAGAGCGTGTCGTACTTTTTTTTCTTGTGATAACAAGGTTACATGCATCATTTCACGCATGCTTCTGCTAAATAAACAATGGGCAAAATTGAGGAAATCCAGATATCATCATCTTCCCATTCCCTTGGGCTTAATTAAGTATAGAATCCCGGGTGTTTCTGGTATATTCTGCGGTGGAGGAGCTGGTCATCACCCTTGCATTCATCATGTCCCTTAGAATATGATCTAGCGGTCCAGGATTCATTTGAGCATTGTAGCACCTGAGACCCGTATTACTACATATGTCCTCCCCACATGCGATGCACATATTAAAGACACAACAGAGGAGTGAATACGCTCAGCTGCCCCTGCAAAACGTAAATGCACCCAACAATCCATTGATGATCCATCAACGCAACGGCCTCCTAGCTGCGTGTCTCCCGCAACAAAGAAATTTGGAGAGATGCTTACGGGCGTGCCGCAGCTAGAAGACGACGACGACAGCACTGGTTTTTTCCTACTTGCTAAACGCGAGAGAAGCGTGCAGTGGGTATGTTGTGCAACCGATGCGCTCTCCGTCTGTGCAGAACCCATATCCACACCTTGCTCTGTTCGTCCACGGTCGATGGAAAGACAAGATGCGCACTGCGAAAACCGAACTTGGCAATGGCTCAATTATGTCCAGCCAGCGCCCAAAGCAATTATTCAATCGGTTGGGCATCGCCTGGCCCGTGTATTCGTACGACATTAAATGCAGCCCTGACCCACACAATGGCCGTATAAAGTGAGGTATTTGGGAAGCTTGTAATTAAGCCGCCCGGTATTCCAGATGGCTTATTAAAATTAGTCATCACGACGCACATGCGGACGTCCTGGATATGGGCTGCGCGTGGCCGCATGTCTCAAAAATCCGCGTCGGTAAATATTGCCGCTTTATTTAAACCACGAAGTTTGGAATGTCATCCGAGATTACATCAAGAACAAAATCCGGGGGAGCTTCTAACCAGTGTGGTTTGCTGCATTTTTTCATATGCTGTGTTAGAAAAAATAAACAAAGTCACGTGCAACAATGAGAAATGAAACCCAACTCCTCGCCACTCAAAAAAAAAAAAAAGAAGAAAAAGGCGAAACCCTCGACTCCATTTCCTCCCAAATCCCAAACCCCCATGGACGAGCTCGCCGGCGACAGCCGCCGCGCCGATTCGGCGCCTCCGCTTCCGCATCTCCCCGACGACATGCTCGTGGAGATCTTCCTCCGCCTCCCGCCGGAGCCCATCCACCTCTTCCGCGCCTCCTTCGTCTGCAAGCACTGGCGCGGCCTCGTCCACGACGCCCGCTTCCTCCGCCGTTTCCGCGACTTCCACGGGGGGACGCCTCCCGTCCTCGGCTTCTTCAACAACCAGCCGGTGTCTCCCCTCTTCGCCCCCACCTCCGACGGCTTCGCCGTCCCCGGCGCCGCCACGATGCGCCACGGCGAGTGGTGGGCCCTCGACTGCCGCCACGGCCGCGCCCTCCTCCTGGACCAACGACACGGAAGGCTCCTCGTCTGGGACCTCATGAACGGCGACAAGCACTACCTGCCGTTCCCCACGCAGGCCCATCTGGAGCGCGTTGAGTACAATGGCGCGGTCCTCTGCGCGGCTGGCCACGCCGATCACGGCGACTGTCATTTGTGCCCGTTTCTCGTGGCGTTCGTGTTCAGTCAGCAGAGTGATTTCAATACCTCCGCGTGCGTCTACTCGTCCGAGATAAGCGTTTGGGGTGAGATCTATTCGATCGAAATTCCAAATGTATTAGTTACATGGGCGCCGACGCCACTGATTGGAAATACACTCTACTGGATGTTGGATACCTCTGGCGGCGCTATCAAAAATGAGTGTTGGATCGTTGAGTTTGATTTGGATGCACACAATTTGGATTTAACTGGGGAGATTCCATACTACGTGCTCGATAAGTACAATAGGCAAATTGTTCTCATGCCAGCAGATGATGGACGGCTTGGTTTCGCCGGAGTTGACAAATTCAGTCTCCATTTGTGGTCAAGTGTAGCTTGTGTTGACGGGATGGTAACATGGGCACATTGCAGAGTCATTGATCTGGAGAATTTTCTTGCACTGGAAGCAGTAGCGGCGTGTCAGTATGTACCAGATGCAGTTGGCTATGCTGAAGATGCCAATGTGATCTTCATTCGTGTGGATCCAAACATCTATATGATTCATCTCAACACCATGCAGATTGAGGAGGTTTCAGAGAAAGGGGCCTATTGGTTTGTTTTTCCTTACACAAGTTTCTACACTCCAGGTATTGCCATTGTTTTTGATGTTCCAAAGTTCACTTCATTTTTCCAAATTGTATATACCCTGTAAGTGTTTTCAAGCACATGAGCCACTGTTCACTTCGCTACCAGTGACAAGTTTTCATGAACTCCTTTTGAAAGAACTGCTTATTAAATGACAAACCATTCATACTCTGCTTACTCCTGGCTGCTGCTGGTTCTCATGTTCTCCTCATTTTGTGGTGTTCTTAACGAACTATTCAATGTTGTTCCAATTTACAAACTGATTGATAATGTGCTGGAAAATGACCCTTTTGGTGTCTCACAACTCAAACAATGCATATGTGCATTTTTCATTTTTACTTGCAAGTGTTTCACGTGTTTTTGCATCCGAACCCAGATCCAACCATTTTCTTGTATCATATTCGCTGGATGAACTAGTTTATCTGTAGCACGGGGATCACAATTTCGTGATGTTATCCCGTGCCATACATATTTAGGTCTAAACAGTCAGGAAGTGTGTCATCATTTAAAGGCGCCTTTGCTTACCATACACATAAAAGAACAATATAGCTGCTTCCCACCAGAAAATTATAACCGTTCTGTTCTTGTGGCCTTGTCGTGGCACTGGATAATATAAACACTGACACATGAGAATTAATCAATTAAGGAAACAAGTGACTGATAGTCTGCCTTTCTTTAGTCAGTGCATAACTGTTCTTTTCTGTCAGTTTAAGCTAGTGGATTTTAGTGTCAATACGGTGCCTTGTTAACGTTAATTGCTTATAAGCTTCATATTATGCGGGGATTTAGGGTGGTATTTTTGTTTCTCAATTCTCTGCTTAGCATTCTTTGTTCAGGTGAGTACGAGAAGGGTATATTTTCTCATATTCCTTTTGCTGTATTACACACGAAACTTAATTGTGTGTATGCTCTGTTCTCTCTTCTCTGGACTTATAACAACGAATGGGCTCGCACCAAAACAGTTCTAAAAATGATTCCTGGTACAAAGTAAATTGCTGAATGACATGTCCTTTGTTTTGAGGTAGTTGGTGTCCAGTGACTTGATGAATTATTTTAATCTTGTATTACATGTGATTTTTTTAATTGTTCCTAATCTTGCAGCAAAAGCTCTTCGCAGTTGTTTTATTGCCCACGATTGCCATCGGTTTATTGGCTCATTCTTCTCATAGGACTTGCCATTGGTGGTGGAGATGATCAAGCGGAAATATTGAACGGAAGTTAAGATGATTGGGCTTTCACATCTGCAGTCACGCTTTGTTGGTCTAAGAGGTGATGTAATAATATCTTTTACTACCTCTCTATTAGTTTGCTAGCGTGATTTGATAATTTTGTGGTTCAATGGATCAATATCCTTACCAAATGGTAATAACTAAGAAACTGCAGTGCCAGTGTTACACAGAATGCAGTCTGATCCTTTTCCCCTTGAACAGATCATTTCATTTGCCCTTTCCCTATTCTTTCTCAGCTACAAAGTTTCGATAGAGAAGTCTTCACTTGTCTTTCTCTAGCCTTAGATTAGATGACTATTATCTCCCAGACTTCATCCGGATTTTCTCTTGGAGCCTGGATCTGGGCACTTCGTTCTGCTGATGTACTAGCTTGATGCAATTCATCATGTCAGTCAGTTTTATATCCTTTCTCGAATATCCATTTGCTACATAGTACAACGATGCCTGCATTTGAGAAAAAAAAACAGTGTCATTAAGGTTTCAGTCCTCCAAATGAGACGCCATGGTTCGATTAATTGCAACATGCTAGACTGCCAGTAATCATTTTGAAGCCCAAAAGTATAAAGTAGAAACCAAATGTTTAATATACATGTCGTGCCCCTGGCATTTACATGGTATTACCTCTATCCCGTACAAATGTACCACCACACATGACCGGTACGCCTTGCAGTATATGTTCATCTCTGGTGGCCTATTGTTTGTTCGGTTGTTGCATGTCAACTCGTATAAACTGTTTTAATTTGCATGTTAACTTGTGTTGTGATCAAACATGGGAAAATATCACCGTTGGAAGGGAGCTCTTGGGCGACACGGCCGGCGACCGTACTATGGATTTAGCACTTCTGCTCTCTGGCGGGAAGGAGGTGTCTCCTGCTGGCACGTATGGCGCCGCATTGCTGAAGGGGGCGCAAATCTCCTCGGCTCTCTCCTCGAGGAGGTCGGTGGGCAGGTTATAGGCACTCTCGGTGGGTGAGGCGGACTCGGAGGAGGATGAGGATGCGACTCCTCGGTCGTGCATCGCCATGGATCTGGGTGGGGACGACAAAGCTTGCTCCGGCGGCAGCGCGTGTAGCTGCTCTTGGCGTGGGCTTGGCAATCCTCGGCGAGGACGGGGGTGACTCTTTGGGTTTCGTGCTGGTGTCTGGGCGGAGGAGGCGCTTTGTGGGGACCTCCTGCTACCAGGCATCTCCAGCCTCGGTGGGCGTCCGTCAGCCCTCTTCAGTTTGAGCGTCAGGGCGTGGTGCCACTGGGCAAGGTGCTCAAGGTGGGCGCGATTTCCGCTGGCAGAAGGCCGTGTCGTCACCAAATCTGAGAGCTTGCGCTGGGATTTGTGTGTCGGACCTGGCCAGAGGACATGGAGCAACCTGATGCTTGGGTTCGAGGTCTGGTAATGATGTGTGACTCTGGCGGTGCCCGATGGTGGTGGCTCCTCTCATGCGCCTGGCGTCGCCTGCTTGTAGCGTGAAGGATTTTTTGCCATTGGGTGGGGGCGGTGCCCTTTTGTTGGACCCTTGTGGGCCGCTTCTAGAGCCTAGGAATGGCGGGTCGCTGCACTGGCACCTGGCCAAGGAGGGCCAGGGCCCTCTTTTGGCTTCATCTTTGCTGACTTGGTGGCCCAACCTGCGCGAGTAGTGCAGTTGGTTGATTTGGACCGTACACCTCTTCTGCCACCCAGGGTCGTTAGAGCCAAGAAGAGAAGGCTAGAAGGTGCTGGTGGGTGCCGCAGTTCCCTCATCCTCACTTGCTAGGTTCCCTAGTCGCTCTCTGAGACATTTGTCACTAGGGTAGAACCACACGCTTCCTCTCTCGAAGTTGCGCCTCGTTTGCTTCGTGGTGCCCTCTCTTTGGACTGTGGCGGCGGTGGCCACAAGAGACATTGCAGCGAGCGCCCATTCGAGGAGGATGAGCTGCATTCCTCCATGAGCAGCTCGTTGGCGGTTGTGAGGGCAGGCAAGAGGGGGCGGAATGGTGGCTACCGTTGTGACCCCTCTCCTTCGCGCCGTTCTTCGTCGTCTGGTTCCTGCTCCCTCCCCCACCTCCAGGCCTGCCCCAGGCCGGGACGCGGCCGCCTGGCGTGTCTTTGGGTGTCTCCTCCCGTGGTGGTGATGTAGGGGGAGCCCAGGAATCGCAGTATAGGGAGGGGCTGCAATGGCAGTGGAACTACGGGGCAAGGAAGGCTGGCGGGAACCGGTTCAAGGAGCGCCTGGCGGCGTCAACCACAGAAGTCCAGTGCTACAATTGTGGCTCGAAGGGCCATTACATCCATTTCTCCTCTTTCTGCTTAGCTTGCGAGGTAGAAGGCCACACATCAACTCAATGCCCTGGGAAATTTCTGAAGCGGGAGTTGGTGATGTATGGGTTTGGCATGAGACAACTTGGCTTCTACCTTTGGGAGGGCGGTGTCAATGTGGAAGAGGTGGTGCCCAACGCGGTCTTCGTGGTGGTTACAGATGGCGAGGCGACGGTCGGGTCTCTCTTGACAGATCTCCATGGCATGCTCGAGGATGACGAGTGGCATTGGTAGATCAAGCAAGTCCAAGGGAAGAGCGGCACCATCACCTTGCCGATCAGCAAGCACGAGGCGGAGGTGGAGCCCAGGCCATCTCTTGGCTCAAGGAGGCGTGGGTTCGGGTTCATGGGGTGTCCGACAAGCTTTGTCCAGTGCCGCTCGTCAAGGAGTTCCTCCGTGTTGTTGGTAAGACCACGATGATCGACGAGGTGTCCATCATCCGCCTTGATGGGCCCTATACGTGCCTTGGTTTGGTGCCGAGACCTAGAGAAGATCAGAGGCAATTTTGAGATTTTTCGAGGCAAGGGGGCTTCATCATGTGCATGGAGATCTAGAAGGGCGGGCCTCCTCCTCGCTCAGGGCTGGACACCCCAGCACGTCCACGCCCGCTTCCGAAGACGACGGTTGCATCACCATGGAGTGGACACCGCCAGTCGAAAAGGAAAGTCATCGGCCTCCTCTGATGCTCACCAGCGGGTGTGGCCTCAGGCCAGCCGCAACTGCAGGTTGCGGCTATCTCATTCCCGTCGTTTATCCATGGGGGTCCTGTTCGTCCTTGCCTTCCCCTCCCTCCACCGGCTTTGACATCTCACACGGAGTTGCCGCCGGTGGTCCCTGGTCGCTCGCTTCGTCTTGTATCATTTCCGCAGTTGGTGCCCATGGATCAATATGGCTCTAATTTGCGTTGGCATCTTGCTTGGGCCTGCAGCACTCTGGGTTGATGTCGCCCCCGCACCCATCGTCTCTCCTGTTGTGGTTGGAGCCCTAAAACTTTGTGAGGAGGCCTCTCGCTCTGGCTCGGCGCTGCTATCGCCTCTGGAGGGCGTCGCTGGTTCTGTTTTACTGGTGACGACGGTGGCTTCCCCTGCCTCGGTCCCCATCTCCTCTGCGGGCTCCCCTTGCCCTACGATTCCGACAACTACCAACCCCTTTCTCTCCACGGCAGCCTGTGCTTCGGTTGCGAGACCGGGCCCGATGACCATGGAGCCTGTTTCGCTCTTGGATCGCTTAGAGGGAGAAGCCATCCTGGACTCCGTCCTGCCTGCGGAGGACTACCTTAAGGCCCAGGACCTGCTCGCGCCCACAGAGGAGTTTGGGGAGGGGCTGGACTCCAACCTCCCATCGCTCCCCCCTCGTCCTCCAGGAAGAGCTCCCGCACAAGGAAGCTCGGTGATGGCTACATGGAAACTGGAGCCCTCGGGGCAATTCTCTACGGGCTCCCTCTATAAGGAAATCTTTAGGAGGAAATCTTTAGGAACCATGCGGTTTGTGACGTTATGGATTTGGAAATGCTCCAGCCCAGCCAAAATAAAGATCTTCTTATGGCAAATTGCGCGAAAATAGGATCCCTAGTGGCGACTAAGTGTTGAAATGCCATGTGCCAGGACAAATGTTTGTGGTGTGGGTGGGATGAGACCTGTGACCACATTATGTTCCGTTGCCAGGTCGCACAATTCATGTGGAGTGTTACTCGGGAAGCCACCGGCTACCGTCTTGGACTCCAGCTTGCTCTCTTCTACTTGTACAAATTCTGCTCAAGACCCCGAGAAGGCCCTGATAGAAGTGGGACCGTCTCTTCTGAGCTTTGAAGTCCCGAGTAATTGACCCGTTTCCCAAGCAGAGTCTCACGAAATTCGTCGAATACAAAGGGCTCCGAGAGGAAGCTTGCCTCGAAGGCATTTGGCGCACTTGCGTGGTACTTGTGGGGTGTCAGAAATAAAGCTTTATTTGAGGGTATTAGATTCAAACAGCCGGCTGATGTCTTCTACAAAATGATTGCCCTTCAGCTTGGAGACAGTTGGTGAGGCATGGGGAGGAATTACTGTTGCTTGACCACTTATTGGACACCATGCGAGCTAGGGCTTGTCAGCACAACTCCACCTAGGCTGTTCTTCATGGTGCTTCTGTTTTGAGCTCATCTCTACCACGCTGCGTCGTGTGTACCCGGCCCTGAGGCCCTGTATTGAACCGATTCTTTATTTTCTGCTGCTTGTATGTGCCTCATCGCCTATTTGGTCCTTCGGATCCCGTACCTTTACACGGTGCTGCTACCAGACTGTTTTTTAGGGCATTATTTAAGGTCAGGTGACGTTCTAATTAAAAATATGTTAACTCGTACCGAATGTTAGGGCATTTGGCTCTGCAAGCTGAACATTAGGTTCCAAACCCATTTAGGGCATTTGGCTCTGCAAGCTGAACATTAGGTTCCAAACTCTGCTATTCGTCGATGCCATGCCATGCCATGCCATGCCAGCATGACATTCCCAGGCAAGTAGTTGTCATGCGGTTCTTTTAGCAATAAAATTGTAGCTTTGGGTGAGGATGCTTTTTGCTGATACGGTGCAGAAAGCTATCTCTTCAGATATTCTTGAAGGTTCATACTCGTGAACGAAACCACTTGATTTTGTTTTTACTGTCTTTTGGAGAGAAC